ACTGACATTGATGTGATGAAGGAGTGTGTTCTGAAATAGAGAAAACTGGGAATCAAGCAGGCTGGCATTGTGATTGCCAAGAAATTGGCACACTTTGTGACTCAGCTCCAGGACTAGGCCTCATTGACCCAATAAACTAAATAAGACAAATTGCTCTCAGGAAAGAAAGTCTTTTCTGAAGGCAATCAAAAAAAGTAATATCCCACACAAAGTTCATATCAGTTCTTTCATCAAAATGCTGAGGAATAACTGAAAATCTCCTAATACTAAACATTAATTCTCTCATCCTGACTTTTATACACAAGACTGGAGCTCAACCCTTTCTGAGCCATTTCTCAATGTAAACAGTCTGCTCTGAATAATAAATAATCCTGTCTCCAACTTTTATATCATTTTTGAATATAAAAATCTTCTCCTTTTAAAGCTTTCACTGGGCAATGAAAGCTATCACATTTTTCACCATATTCCTCTGGTCCTAATTCAAATTTAATTTTTCCGTATTTAATTTATAAATGTGAATTATTTTCACTGGCTCACTAACACTGGAATGCAAGGTATATGCTATCTGTCATGCTTGATGTGTCATGTTTGGTTTGGCTAACAATTTTCACCACGTAAACTCAATGCAGGTTTGTTATCTCTACGTATCTTTGATTGTAAATTCCTCAGGGCAGTGCCTGAGACCTCAACAAGGTACTGAAATCTATTAAGCAAGCATCAGTAGTTAACCTGTACAGTAAATTTCTATGACTTCACTGACAAACATATTACTGAATACTTTTCGGTACAATAATTGTCAGTCAACCAGTGAAATTCCTGAACATCAGAAGCTGATATAAATGGAAGAAGCATATTGAAACTGTATGATAACCTAGGTAACATAACACAAATCCTACTGGGCACCAAAATAATAAACATTTTTGCACTAAATCACTCATTGTTGGATAACTCAAACATATTCTATCTTCCATACTCTGCCAAGTTGTTCTTTTCATCCTCACTACAGTTGTGGAGACATATAATACACAAACCAGCTGTATTGCTAATCAGTAACATACCTGTGTAAAGTAAAAAGCCACAACGCTTCCCTGAAACCCCCACAGATCTGGTTGTGCCAGCCAGATAAGGAATAGGCCAAAAGGACAAAGATAACCTTGTTAGGCCTCCAAGACTGTAGAGCAAATTTTCTGCACAGCTACAACATGGCAAGGTATTCAACAGAGATAAACACCATTACATTTTACATGGTGATGCAACATGGTTCCTATTTACTGAAGAACCCCACAATTTTTTTCCACTTTCCCATGGCTGTAATCAAATCAAGTTGTAGGAAGCCTAAGTCTTCACATTCTGGATTTTCATTATTGCTATCGTCAGCTTCGAGCAAAGCAGTTTAACAGCAAATTAATGGGATTTTAAAACACAATTGAGTTTGTTACACTGTCAGCTTGCATTGTGCAGCAATCATCTGGTTTGAATCTGGTTTGAATGCAATACAGCCTTCAAAAAAAAATCGAATAAACTTTCTACCATTTCTACTTCAATGATAAATTTACAAACTGAAATCAAAAGAAATTGTACACTAGAGGTTCAATACACTCTTAATGCTCTATTTGGACAAGGAACACTGACCGTGGTTTGACCTTTATTCTTTTCCAGCCTTTTCAAGTACTTAGGAAAACAGGTGGGGGGAGCTTATTTGATTTAAATTCCAGAAAATTTAATAACTTACATTTTACAAATCAAATAACTTAACAGCAAATGCTCAAACACTGTGACAAAAGCCAGCTGGAGCAGTTCTGAGTGAAAAATTTTTATTATACTGAATAGAGAAAGATATCACCAAGTTAAGTCCATGCATTTAGTAAAAAAAAAAAAAAAAAAAAAAAAAAAAAACAAACTCAAAAAACCCAAGCAACATGCAGGGAAGAGTTTCAAATCACAATTTCTATTATTTAAGATCATCCTACCTTGCTTTTAAGCCTGTAACATGGACAGCAGTTAATAACAAGCAGAGGACTGAATGCATTATGAGGCCCTTAAGAATTCCCACATGGATCAATGAGTATCCAAGGAATGGACCACAGGTCTCTACACATAGAAATTCTGACCATACAATAATGCACAGAAGTCTGTTTTCAAACATTTGGTGAATCAAATTCAGCCAAAAAGTAACATTAGCTCTCCAGCTTGCAACATTCGATTTTATCAGATGTTTTCAAAATATAATATGCTCATTGCTTAGAGTGGTTATGTCTTCTAAACACAAAACAAATGGCAGTTTGTTAAGAAAGCAGTTAAATGTATTTTAAATAAAACCCAGTGGTAATGGAAGATTACCATGGAAATTCTGTATCACCCAGGATCTGATACATTAGTAATAACTACATCAATACAATATTTAGTAATTATTTTGTAGTCATAAATGGCTAACTTACTTCTAACCCTCTCTTGGTTTTTTCAGAACTATTTATCTTAGCTCAGAAAGTTTAAAAAAAAAATGCACCTACACTGCCATCTTGTGGAAAGTATCCATTTTCCATGGATTAACTTTCCCAGACGAAACACCCTCTCAAAAGGAAATTTCCTTTTCTTTTAGTATGCTACTCTTACCTATCTGACAGGTATATATTTTTTTTTTTTAATGAGTTTAACTTCAACTAATTTTTCTATATAACATAAAAGTGATGAGACAGATTCTGCACCAAATTAGTACGTCAAAGATCAACTCAGATAAAACCAGCAATTCAGAGAGAAAAAAAACATAGTACAGTGAATGCAGCTGTGACCAGTTGGATGTTTTCATTTTCCAGAACCATATTTGTAAAATCCCCCTTTCAAACACATCCTCTCACCTACAATTTACACAGCACCTGCTCAGCATCTCAAATAATTCCTCCAATAATACCTGTACAGCATTTCTCACCCTTGAAGGAGCTGTCACTGTGCAGAAGTCATGGTCAGAGTGGGAATAGCTACACTGAAAACATGAAGGAAGCACTTCATCACCCTTTACAGGTTAAAATGCACTTCCATCCTACTGCAGGCTGTAGGACCACAAGGTATGTATTTTTCACTCAGGGGTGGTAAATAAACATTTATCGATTCCAAATGGTGTTATATCAGATAGACTCGGCAAAAGAACAACAACTTCCTTAATTTTTATTTCCTTCATTTTTTTTTAATATTGAGATTTTAATATGGTCTTGAAGGGACCACCCATAGAAGTTAAAAAGCAAAATAACATAACACAGGGTGCAAAACTCTGCATGCAGCACGAACACTAACTGCAGCAAAACTACAGCTGGGATCAAGTCTGAAGCTTTCAAAATGTGCTCTGATGCCTCTTTTTTGGGCAGTGTGTTTGATATATTTAAAAAACATGTATTCCAGTCTTCCACATTTTTATCTGGACCTTCTCCATCTTCAAGCCAATCTTCCTAAATATGCTCCCTTATCCCTCTCTACCACACTTCCACAGGGCACTATGAATATGTTTTGGTGGACATTATATTCCCCAAACAGCCATAAAAAAATACACTGGCATTCTTGAGCTCATGAAGATTATATGGTATTTTATCATGAGAGTGTTCCTCTATTGTCCTCAGCAGGAAGACTGTTGAATTCTAAGATCCTGAATGCCACAAAAGAGACAATTTTGGTCCTGTCTGCCCCCAGAACACAAACAAACCAATTTTTGTGCAGCATGTATGGGGGAGAGAAAATTTTTTACCAAAGTGGAGTGGGAGACATGGAAGATGTTTTACTTGAGGGAAAATTGCAACAACCAATAAGGCCCTCCTTAATTATGATGAATCATATGAGAATTGATTAATAGGCCTACCTAGACCAGAGATAATATTTACTACTGGAAGAGCAGAGATCTTTCTATGTTAGTAAGCAGAGAGTTCAAGTATGTAGCATAACAATTAGCTGCTATTAAATAGTATTTTATGACATTAACAGTGATAAAGACACCTCAAAATCTTAATAAAATTCTGCCACCTCAGTGTGGTAGACTTCAGAATCAGGAAAAAAAAACCCAATAAATTTTCTGACTGAAAGCTGTCAATGCTTTTACAGACAGAGTTGAATGTAAAATTAAAGTTAGAATCATCGTTATGACATATAGGAAGGAGGACCACATGCCTGGAGAGAGGTGAAATTCCCAATTATAAAAATCCAGCTGTTTTTTATTTCAAGCACACATTTAAAAGCTAAAAACAAAATCCAAGAAACATCCAGGTAGTTCTCTATCCACAGTTGCTGCTTCAATAGGGAACTTCAACTAATTAATATATTTTACAGCTGCTAAGCTGAGCTGGAGCTTATATTAGCAACAAGCACAATTCTATCAAAAATATGCTGGTTTTATCCTGCAAATATAAGATCATCTTCTGCATAGCTTATTAAGTTGGCCTGCCTGTTAAATTTGCATGTTTGTTAAAATGGAGAAGTTGATGTGCTTTGAAACCAAATGGAAAGGTAAAACTTCTGCTCCCTCTGCTCCCAAAGACATGTATTACATTAAAGTTTTTAAAAACTGTAAAGATGCTTAATTTTTTAGTTATAAGAAATAACTCTAAATGGTTACTTATCTAAGGATGTGAATTATTCTGTACACATCCTGGTCTTCTCCCCTCCACTGTCATCAGTCTCTTCTACAAGGGCAGCTGCAGCACCACATTCTGGCCCAAGTCAGAGATCCTCACCCCCCTGCAGCAGATCCAGTTGTGAGAAACAATAACAAAATCATAGGAAGGTTTCCTGCAATAGGTTTACTTGTTTAAAGAAATATTAATCAATAAATAATATGTGAATATTGTATAGCATGAAGTTATTTTTTTCAGAGACACTTTGGGGAATGTAGTGTTGTCCAAGATAACTCAATACCCAAAACAGCCTGGGATTTTTGTCACAAGAAAGGAAAGGGAAGTGGAACTAGATTATGAGCAAGTTTCAGGTGAAGATAGAATAAATCCAGGTAGAAATGGGAGAAGTTCTGAACCCACCTGTTTATTAAATTTAAATAAATCATAACAAGTATGAAAATAATTAATTAATAGAAACATCCAATCTCTTGAAACAATGTATACCCATAAATGAATATCTGTACCTTTGGCCTCAGACCAAATATACTTTGTGTACCTTAACATGCCAGCTGTCTCTGTCTTTGTCCTGACCAATGTATAACATGCATTAATAGTGTACATTAAAAAATCTTCATCAAATAATTTCCACTTCAAACACAGGACTTGTCACTATATAAGTAAGTAAGGAACATATGTGTAGCATACCAGCATAGGAAATGGTAGGTCTGCAAATCTGCAGCATCCTCCTGATGGCCATTAATATTGTATAAGCCCAGTATTCATACATAAATATTTGAAGATCTATTTTTATTGCCTTAAAGCTGAACATCAGAAATCACTTTAATATTTTAGAGCTCTCAACTCAGTGTGTTTGAAAGGACCACGTCTCCATGAGCTGTTCAATAAGGATTTTATGTTAGTTCACAATTTCTCTGTATTATTTAAACATCCACCTTTAGGGAATTTTGTGCCCCTTTCCCTCCAGAGTATAGTTGCATAACTTCTCACAGATTCTTGAGAACTCATAAAATTTTTATATATGCATGTCAAGATAAAAACCATTTTCAGGTAAGTGAAAGTAGTGCCTGCTCTGAAAAGCTGTAGACAGTGAGAGCTCAGCATTTCTGGGCTGTTTTAAGGCCTTGATTTTGCATTTACTTATATATGTATCTCAGGAAAATTCCTATGTGTTGCTTATGTTAATGGAAAAATTATACACTCAGTATCTTCAGTGCTATACTCTTGGGCATTGAATAGTTTTTCAGAATACAGAAAACAGAAACCTTCTTTAAAAGATTTACTTTTTAAGCATTCCTCCTAAAAGTTTACTTTTATTCTGATGAGGTTGATAAATATATCTTGAGCCTTCCAATAATCTTAAATATTAAGTTGCTGTGGTGACCTTTTAAAGAGAAACTGTACAGTTTATCCAGAGTCAGTGACTAGTGAACAAGACAGTATTAGCGCAGACTTCAGTGGTGCAGTGTCAGGACTTATAACAGCAGTCATTCCTGTCTTTTCTGTGACTTCTAAATTAAAATCATTTTATTGGCAGTTTTCTCACAGAAGTTTCATTTTTGCACATTAAAAAATGTTTAAAATGCTCAAAAAATTCATCAATAATATAATAAAGTATATCCCACAATGTTAATTTATTTAGACACTATTCAAAAGACATAAGATCACTGTATTTTATGCTCATTCAATATTTAAAGTAACCAAGACAAAAGTTCTTAGACTGAAGTGTTTTTTCTTCAACTATATTATTCTTTATTCTTTCTACATGTGCAAATTTATTTATCTGTTTATCTCTCTTCTTTACAGTACAGCTTGAAAAAATACAGAGCTATGAATGAAAAGACAAGAAACCAAGCAGCAGTGATAATTCTAAATCACAATCAATACCCCTGAAAAAAGCTTTTTCCTCATGCCTGCATCCCTTTTGAATATTGGTTAACATTTCTTCAGGCGTCCATAAAATGTGTCAATGTATTTATGTGTCCTCATCCCTGAACGAAATTACAAATGTTCACTGTCTTGCTAATGGTCCTCTTTTGAGCCAAGGATATGCTCATGCAATAGTGATACATATCAGACAAAAATATTGCATAAAAAAATATGAACTAGTTGAATTAAGAATTGTACAAGAGCTCTGAAACTTTAAAGAAAATCCAACAAGTAATTTCCTCAAATAACAGGACTTTTAATTAATAAACCCTTACACACCATTCACTTCCTATGCAAGGAATGATCTGTCTTGGAGTTTTTTACACATAATAAAAGAAGGAGTTAAATCTGTGAGTATTGGTACTTAAACAACCCTATAAACTTGTGCAAGGCTGAGACAGCTATAAAGTCTGTTCATCACTAATAAATCACTCCCCTTCTTTATCTTAATAGCACCAGCATAAAACCAAATGATAACAGTTCCTGTCCAGATTTACAGTGAGTAACTGAGGTCAGCACTTGGATCCAGATGTTTTAGTGCATGCTTATTTCTATGCATACTTAAAACTATCAACCACATAGACTTGAAGAGGCTGCAAACAAAAGAGAATAAAGTTCCATTTATAATTTGTCTGTCTGCCCAGTACAAAGCATCTGTAAACAAAACAGACAGGTTTCTCTATAGCAGAGCTAGTTTCAACATTATATTTAAAGGCATATACTGAGCAGGGAGAAAGGAAGTGCACAGTATAACACAAAATGACAAACTGACTTTCATGGCTGTCCTGCTCTGCCTCTGAACAGGCAAGTGACACTAGACTGCATAACAAAGAGAGATGTGCGATTTCAAGAGGTCTGTGGAATAGAAAGTGAAGACCCTGTAGCTCAGTTCTAGAAAGAAAATCAGAGTCATATTGAACACAGATAGAGCAAATCAATAAACATCACAAAACACAAAACTCCTTTGAACATGCACCAGTCAATTGCAGAAATGCTATTATTTAATTTAGCTGGGGAAAAAAAATCTATAACTTTTTGTTAGGAGCACTGCATTTCATTTCACATGGGATAATGGAAAGAGGAGAGAGAAAGGGAAGGAGACCAAAACTATTTTTCTCTGCACTCTCTGGTAGGGAACTGAGGATGTGTTCTCTGTGATACCAACAGAAAGAGTCAGATCACACATCCTCTAAAAAAATCTCTATAGCTTATTTCACACTCCAGCATTGTACTGCCAAGTACTATAGGACATGTAAGCAAAACTTAAATGAAATCAAATTGACAGCCTTTTAAGTATTCTGGTTTAACACAAGAGAATTATTCTGGTGTGCCACCAAGAAGGTCCTTCTTCCATAAGTTTACTGTACATTACTACAACCAGCAAATGGAGAAAAAGCTCACAATGAAAAGTGAGACTGACTGTACTATTACATATCAGCTGTTAGATTCTAAGCTTGTTTTAATAGACTCTACTTTTTGTAAATTTTTTTTTTAAATCCACAAAGAACAAAAAGACAAAAAATCCTGGTGTGGAATCTGAAAACACTCCTGAAAGGAAAGGAATGCACATTAAATTACAATTTCTGGAGTACTGAATTTTGCATACAAATAAAAGCTTCTCGGCATCTTGTTTAAAGACATCTTGCCCAAGACATTCTTCACACATCTAGAAAAACTTCTGTAAACACATCTTTCACGTGTGGATAGAGAACAGCAAACAACAATTGCTTTCAAAGACATTTTTGAAGAAAGAAAAATTTTGTTTTGCTCCCAAATATACATATAGAACCATATATTTTCAATATGTCTACCGTTTTTGCATGTCTACCATGACTAGGCCACAGACACAAATTCTGTATAAAATGTTGTCAACTGGCATTTCCGTATTTCTTCCCAACATGCACTTTGTTTATAAAGAAAAATAATCAAAAGATCTCCTAGCCCTCCAATGGTCTCCTCACCAAGCTGACATATACCCTTCCACACCAGTTTCTCTAAAAGTGGAAGGATTCCAGAAAGTCTCCAAGGACAGACTTTAGAAGGAGGTCCTAGTTAAAATATTGGCAGCACATATATTTGTCTTTTTAATGGCAACCACTTTACATTGTTTAGCACATTTAGCAGGATTTAAAGATGAATTCAATATACTCACAAGCTTTCAGAAAGAGCCTGTGAGGTGGAGGGGGAAAAAATGGTGAGAGATGAAACATATAGTCACAGCCAACAGGTCTTGAGCAAGCACTGCATGAGCAGGTGAAAAAAAATCTAGTGACTGTGAAGAGCTTGATGACAGCTCTGGGTCTGCTCCCCTTATTCAACTGTTTCCACTTATATTCACTTCTGCATCTGTTATATATTATGGGGTGTTTTTATTAGCAGCTTTGGATCCTCTAAAGCAGGTGAGCATGTGTTCAAAAGACAACTAAAAAAAAATACATTAGAAAGAAAACATGAAACTGTTCAGAGAAAAGCAGAACAAAGTGTGATCTTTGCAAATAAAGGCCATTTGAATGGAGACAAAATTAGTAAAACACTTTAAATTTAAATTAAACCAGGCAAAGTAGTTGATGCATATAATCTCTCTTGGCAAGGACTGCTCAAGAAGAACAACAAATATACACACCTACCACCTGCAATTATCTATCATAAAATCATATTCCTTAAGTATTTTCCCCATTTTCCCATTCTTCTTATTTAAGCATTTATTTACAACTCACTTGCTAATCTTGCCTGTTTTCCTCTATATTTATGTGTTGACAGAGGTCCCAAGTCAGAAACACATTTGGGATCCAAGTGTGAGGTGGCAGGGAGAAGAGTTCATTCCCTACAAATTGTTTTCCCTAAATATGAACTCTTTGGCCAAGAGTGATGAATTTGTGCTTTTGTTTTAAAACTGTTCTTGGAGGGAAAAAAAGAAAAAACAAACCCACAGACTGTATCCAATGTACTTATCTCTTGGATTATACATTACTTGGGTTTTGTAGAGGTTGTTTGTTTGTTTGTTTGGGGGTTTTCATTTGTATTACCTATATTTTAATACCTTAATTGCTGGTTATGAAAATATGTAGTTTTACATTTGGGACTATATGTAAAGGTATTAAATAAAAATGTGAGTTTTTTGTACTGCTGAGAGTACATAATTCTGATAGGGACTCTGTAGCACTCTACAGTCCAATAAATTGTAATTTCACATCTAAAAAGTTTAGAGGTGCTGCAGAACTACTTAAGCACTTGACCAGCTCCTCCCTCAAAGGAATACAAACATCTGTATTCGAGTGTAGTTGCATGATTCATTGTCTTGTCTTCAGACAGTAAAGTCAGTTTAAGATGTTCCCATGCATTTCCTCCCTGACCCCAGCCATTCCCTGTTTCCTTTAAGCTGCTCCCTGAAATAAACCAATAATAGAAAATTCTTGAAAAAAAAAAACAAAAAACAAAAAAAACCCCACCAATCTTTGGTGCTTAGGTGTTTTACCTCCAGTTAAATGCCTCTCCCTATTTGTGATCACAGAAGAAAACACTAAGTTACAAGTACCTACTTATTATTTTAAGGAAGATATTTTTCTCTTAAAACACATGTGGTAATGACGTCTATAAAGTAATCCAGAGGAAATTGTCTGGCGCACAATGACAAAAAAATCCATGAAATTCTGGTCTTGTCATCAGGAAGCTCTCAGAGAAACAGTTTACATTCCATTTGCTTTTCCCAAGACTGCTTACCTTGTAGCTTTATATATAATGCAATAAGAAGTGAAAAGTTTTGTGAAGCAGGAAAAAACCACCAAACCACATTTCTTATAAGAACTATTCTACAGACTGGTGGTTAAGACAATTGCTGAAAGTAGAGACACATATTTCCATTCCCACCACTAAGAAAGCTACTACATGTCCTAAGCCTTAAAGGCAAGTCACAGAATCAGAACATTTAAGTTGCAAACAACCTCCAGGATCACCAAGTTTAACCTTTCACCAATCACCACCTTGTCAACTAGACCTGAGCACAAAGTGCCACATTCAGTAACTTCATGAACACTCACCACCACCCTGGTGGTGTTGTGTTCCAACGCTTAATGACCTTATCCATGAAGAAATTCCTTCTGATGCCTCACGTTACCTCTGCATAGGCTGTTTCAGGTCATGTCCTCTTCTCCTGTCACTTTTTCCTTGGGAGAAGAGGGCAACCCCCACCTGGCTACACCCTCCTTTCAGGGAGTTGTAGAGAGCAATAAGATCTGCCTGAAGCTTCCTTTTTTCCAGGCTAAACAACACCAGCTCCCTCAGCCACTTCTTACAAGACTTGTCCTCCAGACCCCTCACAAGCTCCATTGCCCTTCTCTGGACACGCTCCCGACCCTCAATGTCCTTTGTGTTGTGAGGGGACAAGAAATGGACACAGTCCATGAGGTGCAGCCTCACCAGTCCTCCCAATTACAGGGAGAAAATCTCTACCCTGGTCCTGCTGGCCACACTATTGCTGATGCAGCCCAGGATGCCAATGGCCTTGTTGGCCACCTGGGCACAGGTGACTCATGTTCAGATGCTGTCAACCTACACTTCCAGGTTCTTTTCTTCTGGGCAGCTTCCCAGCCAGTCTGCCCCAGCCTGTAGTGCTGCATGGGGTCTTTGTGACCCAAGGGACAAAACCTGACACTTGGCCTTGAACTTCAGACAATTGGCCTTGGCCCATAACCCAGTTTGTTCAGAGCCTGCTGAATAACCTGCCTGCCCCTGGCAGATCAATAGTCCCTCAGAAATCAGAGTCACCTGATCCCCTCATCCAGGTAGATAAACAGGACTGGCCTCAGGTGAGGACACCACTAGTGACTGAAAACTGGATGTATCACCATTCACCACCACTCTCTGCTCCTGATCAACCAGCCAGTTTTTAACCCAGTGAACTGCGCATCTGTCCAGTCTGTGGGCTGGCAGCTTTTTCCCAGGATACTGCTGCGAGAGACAGCATCAAAGGCTTTGCTGAAGTCCAGGCAGACAGTATCCACAGCCTTTCCCTCATAATCCTGCCACCAGTCTTGCTTGACCGGTGCAGTAAGTGGGCTTCAAGGACACCTATCAGACCAATCCCCAAGGAAATATGTGTAAATGAGCTGGTTATTTTGGGAAAATGACCAGGTGAAAAGCTTCTCACTAGTGGTTAAAACTGGACAAAAGGAGATAGTTTATCAACTCTAGATTACATTAATTTATATTTTAATATTTCTTTTTGAATTCTGGTGGCTCTTGAGAGACAACTTTGTGCTTAGGCGTCCTTATTTAAGCTGATCATCATTTTGTTCAAACTACAGTCACAGTGCAAAACTAAAAGTACAAACAATTATAACATTATAATGTATACTATCAAATTAATTTTGCACTATCTTCATGCTAGCCTCACAAGTGAAACTAGATTTGTTTTCATTTTTTGTCACTTATTTGGCAAATTGACAGATACCTCTGATTAAATGGGTCAGATTTAACAAAAACAAGTTTGCCAGCTGCTGGATGTGGGGGAGCTAAAACATTCAAACTACTGACAGGTATTCAGTCTATTTGGACGAACTGGATCTAACCCAAATCAGAACATGGACTATACATCACAGGGTCACATTGACTGCAAAGGAGTAAAACCTGCCTAGAGCACAAACCAGGATAGGGGCAAAAAGATTACAAGTTGAGGAGACAAGATAATGTATGAATGAGTCATGGGGATTTGGGCAAGAAAAGAAAAGTGTATAATATGTTTAGATAAGATTTGTCAACTTTTGTTAGGTCACTCTAATACCTGAAAAAATTTGGTTTTTTCCAGAACATATTTATTGAGGCAAAAATAATGCAACACAGTACTGTCATAAAAATAAATGAAAATACAAATACATAATTTTTCATTTATTTTGTAGTAATTTTTAACAGGAAAATTTTTATCATTTTCAAGAAAGCTACAAAATCAACTTTTGCTGACTGTCAAAAGAATTTGCTTGCCCCCTTTTGTGTAACCATAATTCATTACCTTCATTTCGAGGTGCAAAACATTTCACACAGCTGCAGAAACACTAGAAACACTTGCTGCTTTCAAGTTCCAGAAGGTATTTTAAACAATCTCCTCTATTCTATCTTTAATAGAAGAGATTATCCCAAGATATATCTGTTTCTTATTCAGAAAGTAACCCATCTTGCTTAGTCAAAATATTCCAATACATGAATGAACACCCCAAAATGGTGCTGCGGTGATTAAATCTACATTCTGCTGCATAGAAAGACAAGCATTATATTCTTAACAGATGTAGTGTTGGAATGGTTTTATATTCTTGAGAGAAATTGCAAGGTATGATTTATCACCCTGACTCAAGTGAAATGATACTGAACGGAGTGCTGTCAGTGATGAACAACAATTCCAGCAGATTGAAATTTTCTAAAGAAAGTAAAAGATGCTATCATTTCACTATTTAACAGTTTGGAAAAGCAGGCTAGAGTGCTGAAACCTGCCAGAACTTCTATAATTCATGGCTTCTACTACGTACTTTAAGCCAGGAAATTGCAGAGTGTAGATATTATGGGACCTGAGGCTACACACTGTAATTTTCATCATCTCTGAGAAAGGATTTAAATATGTGTACAACATTATGCAGACACTATTTTTTAAATTATATAGCATTACTATACAGAAGCAGTCAAAGCTAGATGTTTTCAGATCCTTGCAACTTGAAATCTAGATTTCTTACATACTGGGTCTGAATCTCTCTGGCATAAGAAAAGCTAACCAAAGGGTAATTTTCAGTGATATATTTCAATTGAGAAATACATCAGTTTCAAAGTCTGTGACTGGTGTATTTAACCTGTCAGGCTTTAAAATATTCACATACTTATTCCAGTGAAATAACTTCTATGGGGACTTGAGGTCTTTACTTTTCATACCAGATCAGCAGCAAATAAATAAACAAACCTTGTTCACACTACTATAATGTCTCACAAATATTTTAAAACTTGACTGCTTCTTAACTAAAGGAGAATAAATAATTTCCCAAGAACAAATATTTAAACTAATTCCTCCTCCACCCTCCCCCCCCCTTTTTTTTTTTTGACATTTTAACATTAATATTTGAGGGGGTTAAGTTCTAGTCAGCATTGCATTAACTGTTGCTCTAACAAGTGTTAATGCAGTTCCTGCCTTTCCTCTAAAGAGCTATAAAAACACAGTACTTTCAAAATTTAGATAAAGACATAAATCTTGGCTCCAGGTGTTCCTGAATCACTCCATAATCTGAAATGAAACTAGTCTTGACCAACTCTGAATAAAGTTTGAATGCAGTACAGATTTGTACCAAGTTGAACTACGTGAAGAATGAGTATGTAAAACCAACCAAAACTTACTGACATATTTACTTTCTGGAAGGCATGTTAAATGAACTTTAATACCAGATTTGAAAATCCAGCTGTAAAACAGGTATGCAAACATGATTAATGAATGCTGAACACCATCCAGATCACATACTTACTTGAACAAACTACAGCAAGCAAGTAAAAGTTCCACCCTTAAGTAACAATTCAATTTAAATTAGAATTGCAGTTATTCTTCCACTTTAAGCCAGTAGCTATTCTACAGTTGCCATATATCAGAAAAACCTGCTTAGTGAGAGAATAAAACAGTACAGTACAACAAACATAAGCAACAACCTTTTCAAATATCATTTCTGAGTCCAGCGTGCACAACTTCTTCACAGCCAAACCTAACACAAATCCTTCTGATTCTGTACCCACTAATTATGTTCCTATTTTCAAGGAATTTCTGAATGCCTCCCCTACCCCCCAACCACCACCACCACTCACTAGAAAATCCTCCCTCATTATCTTGACTGATTGCTTCAATTAGTGAGCAACTGAGTCACTTACATTATGTTCTATGTTTCAATTCCAGGAAAACAAACCTTCACTGATATACTTCAGGTTTACTTAATTAGAAGGAAATTTAACTTAAATGTTCTACAGACACGGTGCTGGGTTAGACTGCCTGAATAATGCTGATAAACTGTTTGCCAAGACCTTCCTTGATCACAGATTGCTTTCTCTGGTTGACAAGAAGCTCAACATGACCCAGACACATGCACTTGCTGACCAGAAACCAAGCACACACTGGGCTGCATCAAAAGAACTGTGAGCAGCAAGCTGAGGGAAGGGATTGTGCCCCTCTGCTCTGCTATGGTGACATCCCACCTAGAATGCTGCATGCAGCTCTGGGATCCCAAAATAAGGACATGGACCTGCTGGAGCAAGTACAGTGAAGATTACAAGGCTGCTCAGTGAACTGGAGCACCTCTCCTACAGAGACGGGCAGAGACAGTCAGGGTTGGCCAGCCTGGAGAAGAGGAGGCTCTGAGGAGACCTTTAAGCAGCCTTCCAGTACCTCAAGAGGGCCTGCAAAAGAGATGGAGAGGGACTTTTTGCAAGGGCATGTAGTAACAGGACAAGGTAGAATAGCTTCAAATTCAAAAAGGGCAGATTTAGATAAGATATTAGGAAGAAATTCTTCACTCTGAGACCTTGGCACAGGTTTCCCAGAGAGGCTGTGGATGCCCCATCCCTAGAAGGTCAAGCTGGATGGAGTTTTGAGCATCCTGGTCTAGTGGAAGGTGCCCCTCTACATGGCAGATGGGCTGGATCAAGAAGATCTTTAAGGACCCTCAGGATTTGTATCTACATGGTTGAGAAATTAAGGACTCTCGTTGTATACACTCACTTTTCAAATAAATATCCTGCCTTATGATATCACAAGAGATTTCATAAACTCCTGAAGCATTTGGCAATTTAAATTGTCCTCAAGAGCTTCCAGATAGTGCTTGAAGCAAAGAAACAAGGATCCCTATAAAAAGGCTACAAGAGAAAACACAGGCTACAAGAGAAAATATAAGAAACCCATAAAATTCAAATTTGAATAACAAAATTAAAAACAGTTTAAAACATCTTCAGGTTCAGCAATAGTTTTAACAACTAGTCATTTACTTTAAAGCTTTTTAACAGTAGCACCATTTAATAGTACAGGGAAAAAACTGAGGCAAAGATCATGTTTTCTGTGGGACTCTGACATTTTTATTTCCCAAGACAACTCTAAGATTCAGGTTACTATCAGTAGAATATCAGTAGTTACAAGGTGACATCCATCATGCTCTATAAACAACTATTAATGGCCTTTCTTATGCTTTTTCCAAGTAAATGAACTATTATCCCATCTCAAGTAAAGAGCAGCAGTAAAATTCTCTGTTGAGGTGACAATGATTATCAACTGTTTTGTTAAAAACAGCCTTACCCCCTTTTGCCCTATTTGGAAATGCAATGTGAAGTCTTATTTCTTAGCTCTCAGCTTTCAGAAAAACCTGAGCTTTAAAAGACTTCTAGAAGCATCTGAGTACCTAAAAAGGTAGGAATCTAAAGGAAATAAACCCTTCCTGTGACAAAAGATTGCATTAGCAAACATGCATATTAAAGCAGAGGATGAAGTCATAGGTAATATAATGGATAAATAGTGGAACATTGACCATTTTAGAAAACTAAGGAAGTGGATTCTACTGGCTTGCTATAGTAAATACGCACAGAAAGGAGATCAGAAGACTTCTACTTACCTCAGAATTATTAAATACTTAATTTCTTTACAAGTGAAAACTAGGACTTTAAATTTGACCAGTCTTAAAGAAAGGCAAAATACACTCAGATGCTGAAAATTTTTATAATGTGAAGATAAATAGCAAAGCCTAATAAAGAAGAGTTAATTAGACTGCATAAATTAAGTTGGACAGATCATTTCTATTGTCACAAATGTGGCCTACCAATATATCAAAGAAGTGCTGAAGCTTTGTCTAAGCAAAAGCAGTTTGGACCAGGTGTCCCTCATTATGCGTTTCTAGCTTAGCTGAGGGCTAGACCTCAAGTCTCTGCTGACAGATGTTTAAGTAATACTTTATTTGGTTGCTTTGCAAGAAAGGGCTGAAATGATTGCCTTTGCTGACAGGAATCTTAACATTAACTTGAACTTGCAGTGATACCTGTTTCTCACAGGTCATCTGATGCAATTTTAGCTATGTAAGGAGCTTTGAATCTTCCTCAATTTCATCAGACATTTCTGTGTAGCCCTAAGGTCTCAGGCAGACAAGTTGTTAAAGCTTAGTACCAGAAAGGGCCTCAGAAACCCTAAGAAAGAAGAAAAAAAAAAATGAAGTCTTTTATATGAAACAGACACTGAGCTGAGAGGACAGTTTAAGGTGCTTATCTTTTTAATGGGATTTTAAATGTAAAATCATTACCTCACAGTTAAAGTTGCTGTTAAGTACCAAATAATAAGTTATGTTACACTACTGACAGTATGAAATTCAATTCCCTTTCAAGGATGTTGCACTCAAAGTTGTGGTGCAATTATGTGATAGCTATGCTCATTCCCTAGAATCCATCAATTTTTCCTGTGAAAAATGTCTAATTTTCTTCAAGTCATATAAACATTAGGTATATAATACCCTCAAAAGACTCAAAAGGAGAAACAGAACCCTTCTTCAACATCTTCATTTGAATGGGATTTTTAAGTGAGAACTTCTTTTTAATATTATGCTTCCAACATTCTCCATTACATTTCATATACACCTAACATGCCAAAAAGAACCCAATGTTTGACCGAAGGAAGGAAAAAAAATAAAGGGAAAATATAAAATTGTTTTGCTTGGATAAATCAGGAAGAAAAAGTAAAGAAAGAGAAATAGGTGGATATAGAAGTCTATAATTTCAAAGAGGTTCTGATGACTGTAGACATTCCTGAATTTGGGGAATTTTTCTTTCAGAAAATTCTCTGAAATTTCTAGAATAACATTTTGTTAAGAGTCAGACAACAAAAAGCTGAAGAAAACTTAAAAGAGATCATTAGGACAAAGATTTAATGTGTACTGCTCCTACTGTAATGAAGTAGAAAATATCAAATCCAAATCTAATCATAAATGTTCTGGAAGGGGTGGTTATCTTGTATTATGAACATTTTGGCTGATAAGATCAGAAATGGTGAAAAAATATTTACTGAAAATACTGAGTGAAAAAGCAATTTGCTGAAATAGTTCAATGCTGACAAACACTAAACAAGATATATGACAAATCTAACTATGCGATGGATTCCAAGTTGATTCTCCCTATGCTAAAATGAGATACTGGAGGCAGAGTATCACACTGCACAGAGAAAAACCAGCCCCTTTAGAAAATATCAGAGACATTACATTTTGCATTGAAGAATCCAGGTTTCAAACAGAAAACAGAAGACAAGAATGTATTTGTATGATTTATGCAGAATCTCAAGCAAACGTCTACCTATCCAAATAACATTGGAAATACTCAGGTTCCTTCCCTATTGACCTATTCCTGTTCTGCAAACATTGTTTTCATACTTGATAGTTGCTGTTTATGTATTTTTGCCTCCAGTCATGCTAATTATGCAAACATAGTCACAGTCTTACAGTATGCTTATCTACAGCTTCTATGTAATATTTCCCAGATTTACCTTTTCTAGACCATGACCTCTCTCATGGTACACATTCTGCAAGAGCCTGCACAATGTCCCCTGAGGTCATTTTTGAAAAATAATCCTAATTGATACAGAATCTCTACCAAAAGAATGGAATGAGAGAACAAGAACAGCACTTTTGCCTGGTACTTGACTGAACCTGTTGATTTCTTCCCTCCCTTGTTTCTAGATTCACTGGAACACAAAATCCATCACAACAATAGCTGTCTCTTTCTGAAATTGAAGGCATAAAAGTATTAGCAAGTAAAATACTCACAGATTGACTTGACACAGTAATAAACATTATTAAAAATTCCTTCTTTACTGAATGAGAGAAAAATTGCTTAAGGGTAATGCTATTCAAAACACGTTAACACAAGGGCTTGGAGTAACAGGCATGTTAAAAGCCACACTACAATAATACAGCCAAAAGAGTATTTCCGACATTTCTTAAAGTTCTTGCTCTGGGATATATATATTTTTTTTTACATAAACACAAAACTAATTCTGTTTATACTAGAGTATAGGCAGTGTTGATCTTTTTCTTTTTCAGCAAAAAACAAATATATGAAGATAAAACTAGAAAGGAGAATCAGCTTTAGTACTGGTAGCAGAAGCAATGAGCTTGCTCTTCTAGCTTTCCCCAGATATGTAATCCAGATATAAACTGAAGAAGCAGTTTCTGAAACAGAAAAGCATAGCTTCAATTTCTAAAGAAGGAAAACATTAGTAGGTTAGATACAAATAAGGGAAATGAAAGAGGAGTAAAACTCCTTTTCAGCTACAAAACCAGTTCTAACTGAACATGCAGGAAGGACTAAACAGCATACATGGTAATAATAACAGCAAGAGAGCTGGAATCAAGGAGTGCAGTAATGCACTCCTCATTGATATCAAGAAAATCTTGGCTAGCAAGGGAGTAGATACACATTTAGAGATTCAAGAAATATAACCCAGCAATTTCTACAGAGATTTTAAGACCATATTCTTGGATATCTTAGACATTGGAAAATATTAAATTAGAGGGATTATATCTGCAACATAGACTCAATGTTACAAATAAGGGCCCACAAGAACAATAAAAATTGAATTTCTCCTAAAAAAACACATCATTTTGAAATATTCTCTCTATTGCAGGGAGCTCTATAATTTTAAAGAATAAAAGCTCAAGATTTTCATGTAAAGGTTTATTATTTAACGTCTTTATCTGAAGTTCATATTTCTAAGTGTCTGAGAAATTTTATGTGGGGAAAGAAAGGCTGATTGTCAGATTATTGGGAAGTTTGGTGTTTAATCTTTTCTCAAACACAAGGATCTTGTTGCAACATTGCTCCATTATTCAAAGTTGTTCTTATCTTCTCCATGACTTACAGAACTGCAGCTAATCCATTTCCTGATAAGACAGCATTGGCTACTGTTATCTGGAAAAAACAGCAAATGTCAATCTTTTATGAAAAAAATGTCGCTTAGACTAAATTGTTTATATTATAGTAGACAAGTCTGTCTACATTTTCCAGTAAAATACACCAAAATAGAAAATACATATCCTAGTTCATATACTTTATTTAGGGTCTCTTTGGTAAGAGTCCACTTTTAATTTTGTGCAAGAACTTGCACAGGAGCAACAAAAAAGAATGACCCTTTACCAAATTGTCTGACTTAATGTTCAGATTTAAAACTATTTGACTTTTGGGAATGGTCCTTCAAAGGGCCAGGATGATGATCCTTGTGGGCCCCTTCCAACCGAGGATATTCTGTGATTATTTTTGCTTGAATTTCACATCTACTTTACATGAAAACTTTCTTAAATCACTCCAAATACTACTTCAATTTTTAACAGGAAAGCATTGAGCTAATTTAAAAATAGAAATCTTAGTTCAGGTTATCCTTACTTGATTTTACCATTTCTGTTAAAAACTAATATTAATTATGTTTTGAATATTTCATTGATATTTATATACATATTTGTCCCTTTAGTTCCCATAGAACTAAACCATATGCTTTTCCCATAGAAAAGCATACATACAATAGTCATGGTGGGATGCATGAGATAATTCAACTGCATAACATGAACACCATTTAACTTCAGATCTCACATTCAGTTCATGATGTATGTGCTGCTGTCCAAGATGTTAAGACTGGAGTCACCAAACTAGCCCGGTTATCAGCAAGAGCGCAGTTACTGCAACAGAGATTGGCATGTTCTGACTCACAGACTTCCTGGGTCCTGCAGCCTGTGCTGACCTCAACATTAGCCCCAGCAACAAGTCAGGACCTGAGCTCCTCAGGTTACTGATAACTTAGGAATGCTAGCACTGGCTACAGTTAACAATTTTATTTACATGGACTTAAGAGTGATTACCTGAGCTACCACAGGCTTCCGAGTACAGCTGCGGTTTAAGTGTTCACATTAAACCTCACTCAGGTAGACAGAAAATACCACACCAGTTATTCTTTGCTCCCCTCCCCTCCAGACCTTAAATACATAAGCATAAAAAAAATAAATACTGCTAGCATGCCTGATGGGACTCAAACGGTGATAAAAATATAATGTAAATGTACAAAATTTGTATAAAAATGTGAAAATAAAAAATAAATGTGTAAATGTACTAAAAGACACTATAAATGAGGAGCTAAATGAGTAATCAAGACAGCTTAACATACGCAGACATTTTAAAGTTACCTATGTGCTAAAGTGTGCTGATGATGTCAGCACAGGTCTGGAAGGTCTAGTGCATTCTCAAAAACCCTCTCTGACACCTGTGCAGTTTTAGATAACCTGTTACATTAAGTATTCACCTCTTATTTACAGGTCTGTGATTTGTACAAGACTCAGGATACTGTCCAATTCCATCTCCTCTTATTGATTAAAGGCTGATGAAAACATTTGCTGAAGCAGTGTTGCTGTCTATCCTGGTTCCAGCCAGGACATGGTTAATTTTTTGCAGTGGCAGGGAGAGGGTGTGATTAGGACACAGGTTATTCTATATCACTTTACCTCATTGCTGAGGTTAGGGGAAAGGGACACTTGTCCAGGGAAAAGGGGTTCCTTCTAGGCTCAGTGAGCATTTTGCATGGAATCACTCTCTCTTTTGAACCCTTTGGTTATTAATCTTGTTGCTATTACTGTTTTTCTTATCTCATCATTTTTTCTAGTAAATTGTTGTCTCAGCCCATGATCTTTGCCTTTTTTGCCTCCAATTCTCAACTCCATCCCACCCAGCAGGAAAGGGGAGGGCAAAACAGGGAGAATGAGCAGCGCTGTGGTTTTGGAGAGTCTCAGTGGAGACAGTAAATTGGGGAATACCATTCCTAAACCAGGACAGCCTTAATTAGTGCCCAATATAGGGCATGAAGAGTTGAGGTAACAACAGGTCTGCCCAAAGGAGGTTGAAACAATTTTGATCTAAGCATTTGTGTATTAGGTATGGAGCCGCCGGTCACAAGGTTGCTTGGTCTGTTCATATGGGTACGTACTTAACACTGTCTTATGCATATGATCACCACACTACAGTGTATTTTTCCTATTCATTTGAACTCTTTTAATTTCATATGGTTCTCAACATGGGTATGCTTTCAATTAAATGCACCCAATTGGTATTTTGTGCTGTTTGGCTGTCAGACACATTACATTCTGAAGGTAACTTTTAAAGCATGACTTAAATAAAATATGTCCTGCTCATACCCACATTTGGATCATCCAGAGCCTTTTCCTGCTTCCCTTGTAGTTCCATTTTTATCTTCTCCAGAGGAATTTCCTGTGGACCTTATTTCAATAACCAGGAAAGTCCTCCAGATTCTGGATTTTGATATTTCAAGGTCTCATCTTCTATGAGGACTTCAGTTTGCTCTTTACTCAAGACAACTTCTCTCCTTAAGCAAGAAGGGATTCACAGATAACTTATCTTTATGTATTGCTAAGGTGAAACTACACCTGTACAGCAAAGCTCACAAACCTTACCAGAACACCTATAGATCACTGCTGCTGCTTGTACTTACTACTAGATCAGGATTAGCACATATTTATGTCAATCTTTATAATGAGGAAAAAACCATCAGAAAACTCACTCAAAATCCAAACACTTATCAAAGACATTCCCGTAACAAAAAATACTTTCAACTCAAGGCTGAAGCCTTTAAAACAACAATGAAATAACATTAATCTCAGTGACTTCTCAATCACTAGAAAAACTACCTTTTGTTCTTTCTAAGTTAAAGCAACCTAACTACTGTATCCCTTCCCTCTATATATTTTATATTCAAGACAACTTATGATCAGTTCATCAACAAAGTCCAAGTCAATTTCAAACAAAAATATTTACATTTTGAGTATGACATTCAATCACAAAATACTTAGGGCCCTATACTGTTTGCTGGTATATCTTCATGAAAAAGGCTATATATAATAAGGAGAATACAGAAATGTTCCAACAGTGATACAAGAAAAAAACCTACAGAAAATTTGAATCACTGATCTTAAATTGTTATGTCTCAGCTTAAAATGGAACTTGATAAAGTATTCAGGCTAGTAATCTACCATATCAGCACCTATTTTTCTGTAGTTTACACAAAAGCACCGCTACTTGTACTGAAATTATCACAGCTGTCAACCACTTTTATAATTACAAGAAGCTGGACCCTAAGATACACTAATACATAAACTCAAGTTCATGAACTTATCCTTAGTTCCCTTCAATAGGTTCCAATGGGATGGTTTCAATTTCAAGACAAAAACAGACTACATTTTTTTCCACTAGCTTTTTTCCTAAGTAATTCTTAAAGTGGGTATAAACAATGAACCAGACCACATCATTTACTCAAGAGAAAAGCAAGGGGAATCTCTTAATTTTGCAGCTGGAGCAAGCAGGCAAAGAAATTACTATCAGTGTCTTATGCAACAATTCAGGGACAAAGACTATGCAATGCCAGACCATCAGTCAGTACGACAGGAAAGGCATAGTGCTTTCATTCTGCTTGATCACCAATGGAGCAAATGAACACACACTGCTAGAAATAAATGAGCATATTGAAACTTGCTTATATTGAGAGCAACTAAATGCTTCAAAATCTATTAATTATATTGCGTAGTTTATCACTACAGTTAAACTAAGGTTGTAAGGAGAATATGTTTCTTATTTTTATAATACAGTGATTGCCTATGTGAAATATTTTAAATGTGTTACATATTCATACATATTTATTCCACAATAGAAAAGATTATAAACAATGATCCCCGAGGTTTGGGTTTATATTTGCCTGTATATTTTATGGTCATTTTACACAGCAAAGAACGGGTTGAGTTTTTCAGGTATTTTTGAACGTATGAAAAATATGCCTCTAAATCCAAGAAAACTGGCCAAGGGGAAAAAAATAAGAAAAAACAAAAGTAAATGTAATAAACAGAGCTATTTCAGCTCCTGAAAACTGACCCAATTCCAAATTATAAATTTCCTTTAATCCTATTTTCCACATTTTTCTCAGACACATTTTTTCCCTTTCATTCAATCAATTCAAATATATACTAAACAAGTTTTCATGAATATGTACATTGGGACTTTGTACAGGAAATTCCTCACTTCTAGCGCTCTGCACTCAGAGAAAGATATCTTTCAGCAGTAAAACACCAACTTGATCCATTATCTCTCCTCTTGCACAGTTACTTGTTGACAGCATAGCAGACTACTCCAACTGAAAGTTCAGGCACAAACATTTGGATGCAATGTCATAAGCTGATCACAGAGCTGATGTGAATGAGAAAAAAAAAAAAACAAAAAACAAAAAACAAGACCACCCAAAAATATACAACCAATACCCCTCACTATTTATTTTCAGAAGGGTATATTTAAGTCACATCAGTTACAAAACACAGTTGATAACACAGACAGATGGGAATGATCAGCACTGGGAGGAAATCCCTTAAGCTGCCAAAAACTTCAGCTTTGTGAAACTATTCTCAGCATTCATGGAAAGTATTCAAGGCTCTCTAACTCTTAATCCCAGTTCATATTTCAACATGCACTCAATGCAGTGCAGCAACACCAGGTAAGAGAACAGACACACAAGTGTGAAAGTCTATTAAGACCTTGCAGTATGTTTTAGAAATAAAATTTCACCCTTGATTAAAATACCCTGAGGCATATTCTCTGACATTACTTATGTTAAATTTTATAATTATAAACCTAACACCGGAAAAATTATATTTTTTTTGATTTTGAGTCTATCATCAAGTGATTTTGCTATACAGCATAAGTTTTATTTAAAATAACTGCATAGGGAAAAGGGAGAGGAAAACCAACACACAATGCTGCATTAGAACATCAGTGTTCCACACTACTGCTAATTGTTGTGAACCTGTAATTAGAGCAGTTTGCTTCTAGAGAATAAAAAGCTTCACCAATCAAGCATCTGCTCTAGATTGTCTAAAGAGAATGAGTTTTGCAATGACTGATACAGCATTTTTCTATCAGATAAGGTCACATTGCCTAAACAGAGATACTAACTTTACTACTCCTCGTTAAATAAGAAATCAGAGGCTCCGGAGAAGGAATATCACAGTTTTTGAACAACTTCTTTGCCCCATTTGGGTCACTCAAGTTAAAAGTGTTTTAACCACTATCCTTCTATTGACTGCTCATCTGGCATAGGTGACAAGAGTGAATCATCCCCAGTATCCTACAAAGGCTACAACACAGATCTCTATCACACAGAAATCTTCCTACAGGTCACAGCAGCAAAATACTACTACTAAAACATTTTTGCAGATATAGTACTTCTCCTGAGGAAGCATAATTTGCTGTCTGAGGATTACAAGTTATTTTCACCAAAAAGAATTTTAAAATATCCTAAAAAAAAAAAAACTGAACAGAAACTACATGTGGCAAAAAGTGTTTGCAAAGATAATGGTAAATAATTAGCAAATAAATAATTTTAAGGTAGAATATATTACAAGTGCAACTTGTTTGCAATGATGCCTAACCTGTGAAAACAAGTAGCTGATAGAAAAAGCTGTTTCAAGCCCTGTTCACTAGTGATTAGTAAAGAATTTTAAGCATGTGTAATACAAAGTAATTAAATAATTTCCACAATTAGTAGCTTCTAATATATTTTGATCATCTCACTTTCCCCTTTTTTCAGAAAAATTAACCTTTGCAAGACAATAATGCACTGCTCAAGCTTCAGTTTGTCTGTATCCTTGATTTTAGCTTTTCAGTATTATGTAAGTTGCTGGAAGAAGTAAATAACTGAACAACTTGGGATTTTCAATTCTATAGCACTAAATAGAGATGATACTGAATTGCACACACAGAGAAAGAGCTTTTTCTAACACTTGCTGCATTCCCCAGATACTTTCAATGATAAGCTTCTGTAACATGAATCAAGTATACTAAGACTTCTCATTTTTGCCATGACATCAATAAACAAGCCATTCCTCTCATTCCTGCCACAAACTTTATCAAATATCACAGAGAATAAAGATCTTACTGAACATAAAAGCATCTTTGACTTCAAGGCAAAAAGGAAAAATAAGAGAGTTAATTCAAAATATTTGATCATAGCGACTTAAAGCAGACAAATATTAATTTTTACTTCTTTGATGAATTTATAAAGGTTTCCACAAGATGGTGCTGTAGTCCTATTTTTAGATGTTAATTGCTCTAACATTTAGAAAGAAACCTAATTTCATTTCATTATTAGAATAATGAACAGTGATTTGCAAGGCCTATTTTCAATTAAGGAGCAAAATACATTCCTACAATTCAATCTTTATAGGTTCTTTTATTTTTAAACAACTGAAAAAGTAAATCCAATCACAGAAGTCTAAAAAAACCCAGAACTAGTTTATATAACGTAACTCACCGTAAGCTCTTCTGTTTTTTGTGTAAAATAATGTCGATTTATATTCCATATGGTTATAGAAAAAAATCATAATTGTTGTTAAAACACAGAAATTACTTTTTATAGCATATCAAACATGAAGGCATTTGCCTTCATCTGTAAACTCTGCGTCCCCCAAAAAATTCCAACTGGTCTGTAATATTAAACTCCAAAAATCTTTTAAAGTGAAGTATTAAAACACAAAGGAACCTTGATATGATAGGCTACCAATTTACAAAAAGCAATAAGCAATTAAATAAATCTAATCAATCCTCACACATCTTTGGTTTGATCATATGTTTATGGAAGTCTTACGTCTACTTATGTCTCTAAACAGAACTCTTAATATGGCTTCAAATAATGAAAATGTTGTGTTTCTTTGTATACTGACTGGTCTCCATCTGTGCTGCTGGTCTTAAAATGTGTTGGGTAAGAGCACTAAAACACTCAACACATCTCTTGCAGTCAAAGTCTGTGGACTTACTCGCACATTTTTGTGTTTAGGATCAAACTGACCCTCACTTTGTAAGTGTTAATGGAAGCCATAAAGTGTTGGTGCTCTCCAGCTCAGCATGAAAACTTATATTTAAAAATAAAAATTAAAAAAAACCAAACAAACAGCAAAAAAGGCACATATTTGAAACTGGATGTAAGTTTTTTATTAAGACTTATTCAACAGTACAGATGGTAAGATGGTATGTAAGAATGCCTCTTGGGTATAATATGCAAGTTCCAGCTGGAATGTTTCCAACAGGATGTAAACCACAGTCCTCAAGCCCACACTTTAAAAAACATATTACTTAGCACACTGCTAACAAATGTCAACACAAGAATACACTGCTGTAATGATTTCAATTTAGAAAAGTGCAAGGAGAGGGGAAGAAGCTATTTGAACAGTCTTTAAAACCAAAAATTGTGGTCGTGGGGAGGGAAATCAATACACAGATGCATGAGTAAAATATTTATTCAAAGCAAAAAAAGCACTGGTGATCATTACAAATTTGATATATTAAAAATTTAACACTGTACAAACAGACATTATTTCTGGTATCCGTAAGTCTGCAGAGAACAGGTCTGAAGACCTGTGCTTGCAGGTATTCCCACAGGTGGGCTTGGTGTTTTGAACAAGTTGAAGGTTTCTTCAATTCTGAAAATAAATTTTTTTTTACATACACTTAATAAAATAAGGTACAAAATAATTGATTTGCTTTTGACTTCCTAATTATCCAAAATACTAATAAGCAGCATGATCCCATACATTTTCTCTCATCCCACCCTTTTCCTCTGCAATTGGTTTCTATTTTAAATGCCTACCATATATCAATAAACCTCAAGTACACAAAAAAAGAAGTAACCCACACAATGAAATTAAAATCACAGAAAAGGCTAAAGCTTTTTATAGGCCACACACTCTCTTGTTAGAGAAACATTGTAAAGCAGCACATTTCTCTTCAAGCATAATAAAAATAGAAAAACTTATTATAGATCTCAGAATTAATATCAAATACATCTTAATACAGTTATTATAATGCTTAGGCTGAAATTAGTTTTACTTTTCCTTAAATAATAAAAAACAGTGAAGATAACAGGTATCTTTCAGGAAGAAAAATTGCAAGTACCAGGGAATTTCAATCAGGAAATAAATAATATTCCTATTTCTTATCAACCAAATTCTAAACACTCTTTAATCTCCAGTTAATATTATTAAGAGTGCTTTCTATTGCTTTTTAGAAACCAAAACAGTGACTCATCCCACAAATACAAAACTGTAAGTGGATTTATTATCCAGTACAGCCATAAGGAAATGCCACACCTGATGCACAGACTTTGAGGTTTGGAACACATATGTACATTCTCTGTGTGCCTTAGTCCAGTACAACTCCCTCCTGGGAAATAAATTCCTGCTGCCCTTTCCTATTACTTACATTTTACTTATCTTTTCCATTCTTTGTCTTATTGTCTCCTACAATTTAAAAGCAACATAGTTAGTGAACTCTTCAAAGCTTACATTCTTGAGATGGATTTTCAATTTACATTCAGAGAAAATGTGACTTTAAGCACTGTTTACATATGAAAAGTATTTTTATGAGACAGACCTAGATGTAGTTTTGCATAGTTTTCTTGTTTTTCTATCAGTACATACAACTAAAACCAATGCTTACTTGTTCTCTTGACCTCAAAGGAAATCAACTGAGCATTCACCAGCTTTACTTACCTTTGAAATGTCTGTCAGATCATGAGAATTAATGGTCATGTCTCTGGGAGATTGGTCTGTGGATAACAGTGAACTGCATCCAGACGACTGAAGATGACTCTCTGGCATCTCCTCATTCCTCTCTGTATCTATAGAGAAATGCTCAGTTTTATGTCACCTTTGGCTTTTTGCTCTCTTTTGCAAGGTCAGCTATCAAATAACTTGATTTACAGTAGGCAATAACAGAAGAGAATGCATTGTTTAGAGAGGGAAAAGAAAAAGCTGCTATAAGAGTCCAAAATAGGCTTCTCATTTTTTTAAAACAAGTGCAATATGACACTATGTATTCTATATATAATATAGAAAAAGCAAATTCCAAAGATTATTTATAACATTATTTTCTCCTGATTAGAGTAAAACCAAAACTTATGAACATGTGATTACAATGCCAAGCATTTAATAGTAATTTCATATAGTTTACATTATTTTTATTGTAAACTGCCTGTTCAAACATGTCTTTAATTTGTGCTAAGTAAGCTGTCTTATAAGTAGCAAAATCTTTGTCCTTTTTTTTTTTTTTCATTTGAAAGGCTGTGATATTCTTTGCAATTTTAGATTACTATTGTCAGGGAAGAGAACTTAGTATCTTGAAAAAAACACATGTTTCCATACCTATTTTTTAGTAATGTCACCATGTATACATCATACCTTTGGAACATACCTAGCTACATTATTTTGTATCTAAAATTAATATTAAACTGTTTTTAAATATCTAAAATTAAAAACTGTTTATTTGGTACAGCTGTAACCAAAAAGAGCCTGAAAGGATTCTTATACTCTCAGATAAGAATTAAGACTGTCTTCATAACTTTTATGCCTAAAATTTCCTGAATTTTAGCAAAACAGGATTAACAAATTCAGAAGAATTTGGAAAGTCTGAAAATATGAAATTTCTCTTTCAAAATCCATCAGCCTGTTTATTTACTAGAAAGTCCTCAAGTGTCAGTAACACACCACAAAACTTATCACAGGAAGTAAACATGTTGCATGCTTTCTGCGAAGGTCCAATTTCTGCAACTCCACAATAAAAACAAGCTTTGATATAACCAAGAACTGCCTTCCTAATTTCCATGGAAACTGGATTTCTGAGAATCGGTTTTAATTACAATTGAAAAGCCCAACACTGGACAAAAAAGCCTAATATGTGAAAATGGAAAATAGAATATCCTCCTAAGCACTGGTGGTAGGAATAACAGCTGCCACAAGGGAAACAGGCCAAATCAAGGAAGAGAACAGAGGGAGCTAATAGAGCTAAGGGCTAAAGAGCTACCATTGAAGAAGACAGAAGAATTATTCACGGCCTGAGTAGTGCTTTTATCTTCTTTGACATTCAAGTCTGCTTCATTTACTTCTTGTATGTTATCAAAATTAAACGGAAGTTGGAAATGGAAGAAAAAGATTTTGACTTTTTCTTCAAACCAAGAAAGTTTATCAAAAATGTCAGTTGGATAGCTGCTAACTGTTCAAAGATGAAATATAGAAAACATTTAGTAGTTGAAAAGCAACAAAGATTATGAATCATGATTTGTCTGAGCCCCATTAAAAAAGAAGAAAACAGCAACCTAAAAGATATTAGTAGCAGCAAAAATAACTCAATTTGGGCTTGAGAACAGCGCATTTTTAATACATGATGATAACTGCTTTAAAGTCCAAATGACAGTACTAGTTTTCACAGCTTTAGTAACAGAACCTTAATTAAATTTGCATCTTTGATATTTTTAATAGCTATTTTTAACTAGCACTTACTATGCTATAGCAATGAAATCATCTAAAAATTAAGTTAGAAACATGAAATTATGAGGAGGTTAATTTCTCATCTACAATAAGGTTTTAAATTCAGAGGTCACTAAATTGCAGTTACGTACTTAAAAATAGTTTTATTTTAGTCAAGGTAAGCAAGAAGTGTTTAGCATATTTACAAGGAATTGTTAATTACAAGGAAAATCATTAATACTCACCAAGAGAAACTGGAATGCTACTAGAAGTTCTTTTTTGATTTATATTGCTGAACTCTTTAGGTAAGTCTCTCTGAAATACAAGTTTACTTCATTTTAGCCACATACCCTGTTTAAATCCGACTGAACAAAACTATATTTAGGTACTAAGTATGTATGTATTTGCTTGCTACACCATCCAGATATGTTGGCACTGCACAAACATCTTCACAGGACTAAAAAAGTTCAAGATTTCCATAAATGCACTTCATCAAAAAACTAGTCTATTTAATGGGTCTTTTTTTCTTAATATCAATATTGCTGTTCATTAAGAGGTTGAAACCAGTCCAAAATACAGTGCATATAACATAGTTATAAGTAGAATGGACAATCAGAATGCCCTTAGCTGTACTAATCATTTCATCTCAACACTGGTTGCCACTAGCTTCAAGTAAGTGTGCCTTCTTCTAGTGCTGGTTGATATTCAAAAATACAGTCCTCAGTCCTAAAAAAAATAGCTTATAGATTAACTGAAATTCATTCCACCTAAATGCTTAGAACCCAGAAGGCTATTTTAAGCTGGTTTCCCAGGCTCCTAAATGAGAGAGAGCTCTCTCAAGAAACATTCTCAGTTTAACTTCATCTAAACTTTAAAAAGGTTGTTTATAAGGAAGGAAACAATAGTAGCAATAGTATTTTTGAGTTTAACTTTCTAATTTCAAAGTAAAAAAATGCAACACTCAAACAACATTTAGTCTTTTTTTTTACCAACAAGTTATCATTATGATTTGACATCTCAGTCTTTAAAATATGTCACTTTATATACTGGAGTAACTACATCAGCTAACAGGGGAATACTACACCCAAATAAAGGAATGAAGACAAATGGTAGGTATTCTATGGGAAAATGCTGGAAAAAACTGTAATAATGTCTGTCTCTTAAAAAAAATACAAAAATAGAATCTGCACAGAGTACATCTGTTCAATTCCTTCCATTGAAATGGATTTGGTAGCTTTCAGACTTTCCCAGAGCTTAAATGCACAGCTGCTGCTACTTTGGCAACAGCAAAATACAGATCTTCAAGTGTTCCTGCTATGTTGGCTAGATGCCAAAAATTCCCTGTAAAGTGCAAGAGTAAGAGAGGAGTAATTCTGAATTGTTTCTGTATGTGTGAAGCACGACTTGGATGCAATTTCATTAAACAAAAAAACAGCAATTCCGTGGCCCAAAGGATTATTTCTTAGCAGTTTTCAAATGCCTATTGCCAAACAGCTAGCTTTGAAGACTATGTATACATAAACATATATAGTCTTATATATCTGTATATACAATGCCACACATAAACTATAATTGAACAAGTTACTGCAGGTGACTTCTTTCAGTAACATGCAGTACAGAAATATAATTATCTCTGGAAATTTCTGAGGGATATTTTTTAGAGTATTTTCCAAATACTATTCCAACCATATGAACTGCAATAAACATGTTACTGAAGCAGTAATAAACCAAATTTACAAAAACAAAAGAACAAGTCTAGTCTGAAACATGAGCTTTCCCATGTGCTACAGTAATTTCTTGAAAAGAATACATTTGAAACAGGAGAAAAACTGTCTATGGCTGTTCACCTGAAGGCCTCTTGAGACTGCTGCCAGAAAATAAAACCAAAATCATTGGTGGTGTTATTTGGACACATGTCTACTAATCCATAAGAATCTGATTTCAGATGGTAAAATCACATGAGCTACTACTGACCTAAAACTTTTTTTTTTAAGTGATTTAGAGTATCCATCCTTACTAATTGAGCTACAGCTTTTAGAAATAACCTAGTGATCAGTCTGAATACCTGTCCATTTCAAGACTTTGCATAACTACCACACTTGCAAAGCACACAGTAAAACACATTTTGTATACAAGTGTTAGCAGTATTTTCAAATTTGTGGGGTCAACAACACGCACAGAGCTCTTGGGTATGAATAAATTCAACAGTTTTACAACTGCAAAGAAAAATGCAACACCAATCAACTATTTTCCACAAGGATTTTCAACTTCTGAAAAGCATCTGACAGCATCTGAAGGATACAAGATGCATAGAGATTAAAAATTTTGGATTACATGATTAATTTCAAAGTGATGCTATGGTTCACTGCAAGTCAAAATATTTACATGTGTACATATATCAAATTACATAATGTGCACACAAGGACCTTTCAACAGCATGAAAAATAACCCAGTCTTAATGCAACAAGAGGCTTTATTTGCTATGCCAAATGTAGCCACATCACAACTGTAGTGCCTTTACACATTCAAAAATACAATGAACATCACTGATAAGATATAGGAGAGTGAGAATAGGAGAAAAAACTCCACTGATTAGATTAGAAATTTCAAGGACCCATAAATTACATATAGGACTAAAATAAGAAATAACCTTTTTTATTAACCCTGTATTTTCCACTGTGCATGACATCCATTTTTGTCACTATCTGTTGTAGAGAATGAAGACTCCATGTTCATAAACTTTCTTCTAAAACTTTAGTAGTAAATAAAATGACACTGAATCATTACTAATGAGAACAGATGGAAAGCTTTGGTTCATAGAGTCACAGAGAATATAATTTAACAGTTAAGAAAGAAATACCATCAACTTTATAAACAGCACTTGCATTCAGATTGAATCTTTAAAACCAGTGGAAAAAAAATCAGGAGGCAGGAAGGGCAGAAACAGACCAATAAGGTTGTGTTTGGGCAATTTTTGTTATAGAATTAAAAGAGAAGTTAACACACCTTTCTGGATTGTAATAACAGTTCTGTTTCAAGAAGCAAAACTCGATTCAATAAGTTATTCCAGTCCTTCTCGTCTATGATCACCTTTCCTTGCAGTTTCTCTTCTAAAACTTGTAGCTTATCTTCCATCCAATCTAGCTTATGAAGCTTTTCCTGGAAATCAGCAAGCTGATTCTTTAAAAACTCAATTTGTGAATTTTCTTCTATGACCTGAAAATGTGGATAAGAACATGTCCTCTAATTTCAAAACAGAAACAATTCATCATTTGATCAAACTAATAAAGTGCAATCTTCAAGTTCAGTAACCACATCCTGCTACATTAGAAAATTATTTTTCTCCCATAATTATCAAAATATGCCTACTCAGGGAACACAGCTGTTAAAAGAAGTTGTTGACAGAACTGTGTCTTGAAAGAGACAGTACAGTTTAACTGACTTTTCCTTTTCCTAACTTTTTCAAAGTATTTATTAAATATCAGCTGCATGCTCCTGAACTGTAACTATAATGTAAAAACCTTCATCCCTTTAGAAAAATCCTGTAAAAAAAATACAGCCGCTTAAAAGAGAAGTTCTTACTTGTTCACATTTAACTTCCACAATACCATGATCTGGGCACAATTCTTCCTCAGTCCCTCCCTGTGCTGGAAGGGGCAGTAGATGAAGATCACCACTAACTTCATTTCCTGAGTGCCGTTCAACTAGAGGCTTCTTTTGAGTATGCTAAAAAAAACCAAACAAACAAACCAACCCAACAAACTGTTGGTGTTATTTGTTACAAGAGTATTTCAATTCATTAGCCAAGTAATAACACATAAGACCTATTATTTCAATATTTATTTAAATCTAACTATCTTATTCCAACTGTTTACAAAATATAGAAAGCAACAGCAGGCAGTTTAATTTTTAAAAAGTCACACAGACTTGAAGGAACTGTAAAACAAATATGGACACACTCTGCCATATATACGATGTACTTTGTTTCCTTTCTATAAGCAGAAAAAAAGACATGAATGTCCTCCCTTAATTTAAAGGTTGTTAGATTTCTAAGTGTGGACTGGAAAATACATTATTACATACAGTGAAATTCATACTCATAGACAGTTTCAACAGCAAACCCATGACTAAAACATTAAGACCAAAACAAGTTTAACTAGGAAGATTAGAATTCTTCCTTTTTTCTTGACAACGGTCAGCAAAATAGCCCTATGAGCTACACACTGGTTTCTTTTGAAGGCTTCCCTTAGAGAAAACTAAGAGAAGTTTTGCAATTCTTTCTAGGTGGATTAAATCTTATGATACTATCACAAAACAAAATAAAATATTTAATGATTAAGAATGCACAATTACTAGTTCTATGCAGTATCTTAACATGTACAGATTCCTTGGTGTTTTGGTTAAGCTGAAACTTTCCTCTACCAGGAAATTCTTAAAACACACCTATCTATACCATTCAGTGCTACTATTAAACAACTAGAAGAGACAAAAAAGCCATTCCAAATATTTTGTTGGTGAAATTTTCCTTGATAAAAGCAGTATTTTCCGTACAAGTAGAAACCACCGGCTATTAACAGACAGTCATAGTCCTAAAAGTTTTCTACAATTTTATTTTGCACTCTTTTAGCAGAAAATATTAGGAAAGCAGCCTCCTTCACATGCCAAGAATGGCATAATGTATAATTATTTTACTCAATGCATAATCATTTTACCTCTGTAAAACCAAAGCCAAAAGGAATGCTACATTATGAAAACTTGCTGAACAGATTCAGACAAAAGACCAAACAGTATTTGGAAAGCTGGGTTGAAAACACATGCTAAGCCAAGCACACTTCACTCTTCAAACACAATACAACTTCTTTGTCCCATTGTATCTTCTTCCATTGCTCTCCCTTACACTTGATATAATTGAAATATAGCACAAACAGCACTAGGTCATTACCAGCAAGACTTTGAGATCAACTACTCAGTAAGAGAGGCAACATCCTCTGTATTTCAGCCATTATTTCAGCCAACTACACTTCAGGGAAAAACAAACACCAATCCACCTCAAAACTGGTTTGACTAAATATTAAAACCTAAATGAAAGCAAAAAATTTCAGCAAGAGCCTGACTTGCTACAAACGAGATCAACCTTTAGACATTCAACATAAAAATTATTTTCATACCTGTTTAGAATTCAGAGCACTGCGACTTGGATCAGCAAGACCTTTACCACAATTTGACCATGCTTCAAATTTAAAAGGTCTGATTTTTTTTCTTGTTTGGGATTTAACCTCCAAAGTGAACAGAAGAAAATAACACAGGAAAATTTTCAGGATTCCACACCCTACTTTCTAACCACCATCACTGACAGTCAGGAATATTTAATGGTGCACACACACAAACACACTTAAATCTCTGTAGTACAATAATGTCTAAAAAAACTTAAATATTACCCACATTTATAGAGAACACAGATCCAGAAGTAAATGCCATACTTTTACTAATACCTATGCTAGGATGCATCAATAGATGGTTATAAATAGAAAAGACAACTTGCACTAGAGTAGAAAGTAAAACAAATACAAAAAAAAAGTACTTATGTCTTCAAAACTGACAAATCAAGTATGCAGAAGTCCTGATGACTTGTTAAAAACTCAAAGGAAACAAAACAAAATATAATGACTGGAAATTCCTTTCATTAAAGCAGAGACTCATACACAACACATACTGATAAAAAATAATGCCATTACAAGTATTGTTGATGAAAATAATCATATTTGAGAAAAAAATACAAGTATAATTTTTAAATTGTTACAGAAATTCAACATACGAGAGGATTTTGTTTTGCCTTTATCTGAGAAGTTTATTAATTCACATGTTCACTGTATCAAGAAGTGTAAAAGAAAATATATCACTTACTGTAAAAACAACAATTAGATTTATCTCCATTCTAATTTTTTTTATACTACAAAGTATTGGCAGCTTCATGTCTTGAATGAAAGCATTCAAGCATCTTACAATGAAACTTCATACTAACGTTCCATTATCTGGTCCATGAGTAATGCTGCATCTTCAAATAGAAACTGAAGACCAGCTTCAGCAACATCAAACATGTCAAAAATACTTATAATAAAGGTAACAATGTGACCAGTACCTTACTAGAGTTACTCAACTCCTTATGTTTCTTCACCACACAGTTGATAATGTCACAAACAATTTGCATTTTTCTTTCTGCAAAGCCAACCTGAAGAAACTGCTCTTTTGTTAAAATTGGTTTATACTGAAATTGATCTCGAAGAAACTGCAACAAAATAAGAGTTTACTTCATTTTCAAATTCACCTCGCAATTTGCTGTAGAAATGGCATGCCCATATTCTTATTTTACTACAATCTTGTCTTTCATTCTGCACATCAGCAGCTAAGCCTTTTCTCATTTAATTATTTATATATATACTAATAAATAGATGTTTCTTTTAACTAGGCCTTAAATATATCTCATCTTTCATTCACATCACTCTTGTAAACATAAACTCCCAGTCTTAAAATTCAAGAAATAACTGACTATAAAAATTAAGACTAAAAAATTTTTTCAACTGAACTTACAATAAAAAGTCATATTTATCTCCGCAAATACATCAGAGGGCTACATAATGCTCACACAGAAGCCTGTAAAGCAGTCTCTCAGATAGAAAACTAGTCTGAATAAGCCACTATTTCTTAATTCATCAATCCACCTTTCATAAAAATGTGCTTTTGTATATTTTAAGGATAGTTCAAAGTTATTTTCAATCAGTTAAGAATTTGATTCCGATTTAGAAAAGGTTAATATTCAACTTTATGTATTAAAATGGCATAGTGTTTCAAAATAGCCGTATTTCTAAACTGTGCTTACATTACAATTTTTTGAGTTCCTTGTGATTTTTTTGGTGGTTAAGATTTTTGCCAAAATCACTTCTATAAATCTTATTGTCCAATAAACATTTCTATGTTCTTCAAAATTAACATCTAACAATATTATTATTTATGCAAATGTCTCAAAACTGAGATTTGGCTACCACCACCAATCCTTATTTTCATTAAAATCTAAAAACTTGCACATAGTGAATTGCTACTCATCTTAAATCCTAACAGAACTAAAATTCATGTTCATTGCCAAAAACTTTCACTTTCTAGTAAAGATCATGGTAAATGTTTAATTTCTGTGAAGCTATACTCAAACCCATGTTTCTCCAGCAAAGAACATGAAGAGATACCTTATAAACAGCTTCGATAAAACGCAAGTCACTCTTGGCTGTCAGTTCCACATCACACTTTACCAAAAGCTCTGCTATACAAGTTGAAAAAGATGTAAAACAATAGCTGATGATAGGTAAAAATGCAGCTGGATCACCCTTTACTAACCTATAAAGAAACAAAAGTATTTTACACACCAGAAGGTAAAAAAAGCATTTCATGACATGAATTCCAACATTTAACTTGAAAGGAATGTTCTAGCCCACAGCGTGTTCTATCCAAATATCTTTCATCTTAACATTTCTTTGTCTGGGCATCTCTCATTCAGCTGTCTTTGCTGTTATACTTAAAATGCTCAAAAAATGTTTTTGTGATCTTCATATAATTTAAGTCTAAAGCCCACCAGCATTTCCAGCTCAACATTCAGACCTTTTTTTTTTTTGTTTCTAATCTTTATGGGATGAAATTTCCTAAAAAAAAACTTTGCAAGCGCTTCCAAAGAAATCCAGAAGGTGAGATTAACCAAAACAAAGACAAGAACAGCAGAAAAAGAGCAAGACAGTAATACAGCTCAGGATTGTTCTAAGGATTGCTCAGAAGAGCAAAACTGCATAATTTTATATTCCAGTTCACAAAGACCACACCCCAACTTCCCAGTTATGTTCTGCCTACTTATCACTGGGGGCAATGCTAACATTTATACATATCCTGTTTACACATCTTGCCATCATCATGTATTAGCATAAGTTTTCACACTGCCACTTACACTGTATAATCCACATCTCTTGGATAATTTAACAAGCGAAGTCCTTGTTCAATTTTTCTTAAACTTCCATTTAGGTCTCCTGTTGCCATTATTCCAAATGCTATTCTTCTTTCAGATTATGAAATAAATGTAAAAAAGTACATATGCTCAAAAAAAGTATGTACATAAAAATTAGAAAATGCAATAATCACTTAAATTCAACTTTCTGCTAGAACCTGGGCGATAATTACCTGCCATTATCTTCACTAAATTTCTTTTCTTAGAAGAAAACAAGTATTTTGAAGCCTACCAACCCAAGCAGTGAAGAGGCATGGTCACATAGCCTATAAATGAAGCGATAGTCTCAAGAAACAGTTAAAGCTTCCATTTACAGTGGGCTGGGTTTGTTGTGGGTGTTTTTGTTCTTGTGTTTTCTATAGTGTTTAATCAGCAATCCTCAAGATTAAGCTCTTCCCGTGTGTTTTGCCCTTGTTAAAAGGATTTTCTTCCTACTTAATCATCAGGTTCCTTTTATTGTAAACATTAGATTCTGGGTAATGATTTGCAATAAACAGAAGTACACAATACTTACTTTTCAAAGCTTGGAAGAATTTAACCAATTATTTGGAAATTGAGGCAGCTATTCTTCCTGCATTATGTTACAATGTGATCCATTCTATGGTTTTGCAAATTTAAATAGCTATTAAGACAAATCTCAAATAATCTGACATAAAACGGAAGCTCTAATCTGCAATGCAAATATTCACCGAAGACACTCTCACAGGATATTGTCTAATCCTATATAGGCTGTTTCCCAAAAGTGTCAACAATCCTTTGTTTTTACACCAGACCTCTAGATATAAAACCTGCTAACTACTGTCACTACAAAATAGCTTAAGAGATCACAAAAGTAACAGTCAAGTTGGTAGTAAATCTTGGGAAGGTGAACCCAGTAAAATGGGACAGATAGCTTTTGTCTGTAGAAATCTGTAGCAGAAGTTACAGACCGCTAGCTATCAATAAAATCGAGTATAACAAAGTTTCAGGATATGATGACATAGCACTTCGAGAAAGCGGCTTAAAGAACAACTCTCAAAACTGCATATGCTATTCAAAGGATCAATGTAAAAAACTAAACAAAAATACCAAAACAAACAAAGAAAAACTAAAAAAACTACCCCCTGCAGGTTACCAAGTATGTTAACACTGTAAACGCTGTCTTTGAAATGCCCAACAACTAGACTTTTGACTTCTTCCAAGTGAATCTAGACTCCCCTGTTGCACGGGGCAGGGAGCTGGGGGAAATCGCACCATTCCGCGAGATGCACAAACTTCACCGACACGTACGGGGCTTGGCCGCCGTGCCAGCTGCGACGCCCTTCGCGCAGGGGCCGCGGGCACACCGGGGAACGGCACAAGGGACTGCGCGGCCTCGGCTGGTTGCCCTGGGCACCAGCGGGCAAAAAGCGCGTCCCAGCCGGGACACGGCAAGGCGGGCTGAGCTCCCGGAACCAGCGCGCTGCGGCAAGCTCGCCAGCGTGGGACCGCGGCCGGCTCTGCAGCCGCCCTTCTCGCCCCTACAGCAGCCGGAGACCGGGCCCTCCCTAGAGCTCGCCGTCTCCGAGCAGTGAAAGCCCCAGGTTAGGACAGACCCCCGCCCCGAGAGCGCTGCTGACGCTCACCCGCGCAGCGGGAGCACCGTTCCCTGCCGTTCCCTGCCGTTCCCTGCCGTTCCCTGCCGTTCCCTGGCGGTGTGCCGGGAGCACCGCCGTTCCCCGGCACAGCGCCGAGCCCCGCGGCCGTTCCCGGACGCGGCGGGCGCAGACCGAATCTGCCGCCGCCGAACCGGACGGGCACTTCCTCTCCCCGCCCGTCCCGCCGCGCGGACGTCACTTCCAGCAACAACAGCAAACGTCAGAGCTGTCGGGGCAGGAGTCGGGGCGGCGGCGGCGGGGTCGGCCTCCCTGCCGAGGCTCCTTCCCTGGGCCTGTCCGCCTGTCCGCGCCGCCAGGCCCCGCAGCCCCTCCCGCCCGGCGCGGCCCTCGCACGCAGGCGGGCCGGGCTCGTCGCGGCGGCGGTTGGAGCCGGGCTGGCACAGGTAGGGCGCGGTGCCCCTGCGCGGGGCGGACGGGCGGGCGGCGCGGCCAATGGGCAGCCGGGGCTCCGCGAGCGGCCCAATGGGGCCGGGGGGCGGCACCGCCGGGCCGCGATCGCCGGTGCCCGAGAGCGGGGCGGCCGGTGCCCGAGGGCGGAGGGGCCGGGGCCCGGGAGCGGGGCGGCTGGGCCCGGGCCGGGGCGGCTGGGCCCGAGAGCGGGGCCCGGTGCCGCCCGGCGCAGGGAGGAGTGGCTCGGGGCCGGCACGGTTGCGGAGCTCTCGGGACGCGGTGCGGCCTTGGGTGGCTTCGGCCCTTGGTTCCCTGAGGCGACTCAGCACCTGTAGGACGGGCTGTGCCCCCACCCTTCAGCCCGGTTGCCCGGAGTCGGGATTGAAGGGTTTTCATGTTACGAGGGGAGACCAGCACGCCTCGGTTGTAATGCAGCTGCTATGAACGAAGCTTCAGCTTCCATAGGTTTGCATCGAAGGAAGGAACGTTTTCCTGTTGGGATAATCGTGGCTGCAAATCAGCAGCTGTAGGGTTCAGCTACTATAAAGTGGCGAGTGTTTATATCTAGAGTGCATGTTGGTTTTTATTTAACGAAGTAGATTGCAGTGCTAATGCAGCATTAATCTAGATTACTTTTAGCATCCTATCATGCTTGTCAACACTGCAGAAGAATTTATTGTGTAGTAGCAAAGTAACATGAGGAAGACACAATTAGAATTTAAATCAGACTTTGATAGATAGCAGACAGAGCTAGAGAAGATCAGCGATTTATAAACAAGGCCGATGTTATTTTTACTGTGGTAGTTACTCCAGCCAAGCTATCAAGAGGTTTCAATTACTAGGTAAAATAACATTATTAGAGGTGTGAAAACATGCATTTGAGTGGCATACTGAAGCTGAAGATTGGAAATATAGGTTCAAAGTAAATTAAAAATTTAGTTTTTGATGCCATTACTTAAAAGGCTTTATAACAATGGGTTTGTTCATCTTATGTTATGATGGGTTCTGAAAGCATTCATCCTGGATGATTATTACAGGCTGAAAGTAATTATGTGATAGGGAAAATTATATGTGTTCTAACAAAGGCATATAAGCTGGTGAATAGCTACACAAATAGCAGAGCTTGTGGATTTTCAGCAGCTGCTTCTAGACTGGTTTAAATACTCTCATTTTGTTTCTTCTGTGAAATTTGTTCAGTTGGTCCTTAAAATAGCAAATGAATTTTTCATTTTTTTTTTACATTACAGAACAGCTTTTTATACTATTTCTGCAGTGATATGCTCTATATAAGTATGTGAGTACCTTATTATCAAGGCTTTATGTTATTCTACTTGGTAAGAAAGCTTCAAAAAGATACTTAATCTCTTGTTTCTGAGCACTCAGAATCCTTGCTGCATTACCACTGAAGTTGTTAAACTTTGTTTCAGTGTCAGTCACTGTGCTATCCAATACATTATTGTTTCTCCCTATGTTTTTATAGTGCTTCATTGACTCTAAATAAGGTTTTTAAATTAAATTTTGAAGAAAGTCTGAAGATTCCAAATCTTCTGAAGCCTAAGGTTTCTTAACTTGCATGGGATATAGATAATATTTGGTACTCTTTGAAGAAGCGTATTTGTAATTTTGTAGCTCTTCAAGCATGGAAATTTTTGAAAGAAATTTACATTTTTTATTGGGTTTTGTTTTCAGTATTTTTTCAGTTGTCCCATGAAGACTGATTACCTACTCAACATAACTTTGCCAGAACTCACTTCCTACCTATTCAGATCAGTCCTAAAATTTTACTTATGTGCTGAATCTGTCTTACAAATGTTTACAAATAGCCATCAACATCTAATTTGGATTTTATGTCCACCAGGCTCGCAGATGGGTCAGGGACTCTGGAGAATTGCTAGAAACCAGCAATTGCAACAGCAAGGGTACAGTGGACAAGGCTATCTTACCAGAGAGCATGGTAGGAGGATACCTGCTAACAATGTTTCCAATACGAGCCATCGCAAACAAGCTCAAGGAGGCATTGACATCTACCACCTGCTGAAGACAAGAAAATCTAAAGAACAAGAAGGATTCATTAACCTGGAAATGTTGCCACCAGAGCTCAGTTTTACCATTTTGTCATACCTGAATGCAACTGATCTCTGTCTAGCATCATGTGTCTGGCAGGATCTTGCTAATGATGAGCTCCTCTGGCAAGGGTAAGCACGAAAAAAAAGAAGTATCACCTGGGCATAGTAAAAAGTATTAGATTTTAAATTTGCCTCAGTAAGTGCTTTTTGTCTTTCTAACCTAGCAAAGGTTTCCTATGTTAAATGAGATTTATATAGAGGAAACATACATCATTTAAAAATGTGTTATTCTGGATTTCTAATTAGTATGGGGTATTACTGGAGATTACTACATACACAAGTGTGCTTGGCACAAGTATACATGTGTATTATTAAGCACCTGGTGTTTGAGATAGCATGGGGTAAAAACAGGGACTTATCTTCACTTTTGTATTAGCTCAGAGCACATCTCAGGGGTTTGTATCATTACTTCTCTGAACTTTGAACAGTTGTCTAGCTTAAGCAAGCAAACCTATTCAGCCAGACTTCCAAAGGAAGAGAAGTGAGAATTCATCTACTAGACTTGAAGCAAATTAGGTGTGTCTTTTTTGCAAGATGGTTATGGAGAGAGGAAAGGTCGTTTTTTCTCAAGTGAAATTTCTTCAGCCTAACACTTGAAACACATTTATGCATAACATATATCGAATTTGTATGTGTGGGAAATAAAGGAATATTTTTAAGATAAAATAGTGTAATATCAAAATGGAATTAACATATTCTTTGGTATTTTATGTTTTACAGCACTAGGAAAGACTCATGAAATCATACTTATCTTTAGAGTAGATGGTCAACAGAACTTATAACTTCTTTCACAACATTTTCTTCTCCCTTAACAGACAGTATTACTACTGTAGCAGTTGGGTTGCTGTTCAGGTTGTTTATTTACCTTTCATTGTGCTCTACATCTCTTTGTTCCCTCATCTGTTTCCTTGCCCTGCTGTATTTGAATTAAGCAGCTTCCCTTCCTATCATGCTTTTGAACCTAGCAAAAGGATGATGCAACGTAACTTCTTAGTCACAATTGTTCTGCTGTTGGGGACTGTTCTATTGACTGGAAACAGGAATTCTAGTGAAGGATAGCAGTAAGCTAAGTTTATCAATATGCTTTGTACTGTGCTCAGTTCTTGGTATCAAACCTGACCTAAATACAAATAAATTCCCTTCACCAAATCTTGAAGATAGTAGAGCTTCTTAATTACATGCAGTATATATTCTTAACATGTGGGGTGGAAATACATCTTTTCCTTGAAGTTCATTCTGGGAAACAGTTCAACCATTTTTTGTGAAATCTTCCCAAATAAGGTTCTCACATTCATGCCACATTTGTTTTGGTAATGAAAGTGCATCCTAGTTTAGCAATAAATAAAAATCTCAATGTGCATAATCTCTGTAAAAATCTTCACTATTCCACATGTATAAGGGCATGTTTAAGCTTTGGCAAGTACTGTGGTTGCAGTTCCAAACTCAGTCCAAATGAGACCCAGATTCCAGAATTGAAAACAGAATCTTTGCCATGTCTCTAGTGACTACCTGCTGCGTCCTAAGCATTGTTCCTAATCAGTTACAGGGCAGGTGTGTTGAAGCAGAACTACCAGTTCAATAAGGAATCTCGAGTGTGTAGAAAGGGAGTTGCAGATGGTATCGTCAAAGAAACTGAGATGGGGGACAGAAACTGATGGAACTGATATGGAGTCAGGGTGGAATAAAAAGAAAAGAAGCTCAAAAGTTAGAGAAGATAGAGAGGGATGGGACTGGATCTAGTCATTAGGACTGGCCAATTAGGACAAGAGGAAGAAGAGGGGTGATGAAGGACAGATGGGGAAAGTCCTGAATTAATGGCATAATTGTGTGCAGATACAGTGTCCAATTCACTGCACAACTGGGGCACAGGAAAAGAAACAGAATGTTTTAATCTGTCACAGTACCCCAGGAGAACAACTTGTCACTGTTCTCCAGTGTTCAGGTTTTAGGAGTGCCAGAGGTCTCTGCTGTGTGGTTGTCATTATGATGCCACCTGCTGGGATATGTTTTGATGTTGCACTCAAATGCACCAAAACCTCTATGATAGGAAAACATTAATCATATAATTGACGATTTTAGGAAAACATGGCAAAAAGACTTAATAAGTGTTACAGCAACCTACTTCTAACTTTTCCTATGGTTTGAGGATTTATCTTTGCAGTGTTGGTTACATTTTGCTTCTATAAAATCCATGAAATTCAGAAAGGAGTTTTTATAATGGATTTAATTCTATTTTCCTAGGTTGTGCAAATCCACTTGGGGTCACTGTTCTATATACAATAAGAATCCGCCTCTAGGATTTTCTTTTAGAAAATTATATATGCAGCTAGATGAGGGCAGTCTCACCTTTAATGCCAACCCTGATGAGGTAAGTGAACTGTTGCTGACAGTAATAAAAAGTTATAATAATTGTGATTG